TTCCTGTATTTGAAGCGGCAGTTGTTTTGGCAGAACACACTCAGAGAGATGGTGGTTGGATATAAGCCACGCTGTGTAATCCAAGCAGCAGAACAGTTGATTGTAATTGATGAGAGGCCGAATAAGGACCCTTCTACCTCAAGGTCAGGTGTCGTCGGCAAACGCGCCCCCACAAGACTGATTGAAAATATTTATATCTTGTGCTGTCTATAATTAACGCCTCGCTTACAAAGGATCCCCGTTGGGACTGCGTGTACAAAGGGTGCTTGAGAAGCTCATTCGAACTTCATGATTCTGATCATTCGAGAATACTCTATTCGTAAGATGTCTGTTCGATCAGCCTTGTTTCTTTGTATTCTTGCCATATTTTTCGTCTGAAAGGATTACAATACCGTTTAATACCCCATGACAAATGAACTTCTTCCGTTGTAGTGCTTTGGAAGAAGCACATGCAAAATCATTTCGGTTTCCTCTTCTGCATAATCACAGTCGAGTAAACCTGTCAGGAAATTCGCAAAAAATTTGTGCACGTCATCCAGTGAAAGAATTCTGTGCGGGTGACGCTCGGTCAAAAATATTTACGTAGTTGAAAGATGGAATTTTCTGTGTTTATCGAACCAATTATCTTGAGTGATTTGCTGACAAATATTTATTCTATCATCGAACATCGGTTTTTCGGTTCTCATTTGGTTCTCATTGTACCGTTTTATAAAAGAGACGAAATCTCAGGCGAATGAGCTAACCTCGATTGTCGAAAGTTTTGGTAACCACTGGTGTTTTATTCTGCTACAAACAAATTCTCACTTGCTGCATGACAAAGAGTTGGAAGAATCCGTGGAGGGCAATACTTTGTCACATCCTGTCAGCCATCCGTTTATCGTAGAGTTCCCCTGGGCCATCAACCTTTGCAACGCCATTTGCCAGAAGATATTGCCATTCTGTTGCTTTTCACAATGACTCGAAGCAGCTGGCTGATTGGGGGTCTCCGGATGAGCGGCTGTATGTTGTTCTTCATCACAGTGGTTGAGCTCAGGACATAAATGTCCTATTTCAAAGGACTGTTTCCTAGCTGATCTTTTCTGGCCTCCTTTTTTCACACTGCAACGAGAAAATACGGAAGCTACTCCGGCTGCAAATACACAAACGCGTTCGCATAGGATGCATTCATGCATTGTAGGCGTGAGGAACCATTTTAATCAAGTAAGCTTGTAAATCCATTTGTCTAAATGAATGAAATCAACCAAAAGGATCCGGCCCATATGAATTCTAGTAGTCCAAGCATTTCGTTCCATGTTAGGTACTGTGAATCACACCGCATCAGAACTCTCAGTTGTGGTTTGGTCAACAGTCTATGAAAGCATAGATATGGAAGTGAGAGGAATGTGTGACAAACAATGCACACCAATTATAATGACCTTGGTGGTTTCGCACATTTCGGCTGGTCTCATTAGGTATACTGAGGAAACATGAATTAAACTGGATTGTCATTGCTCATTGATGGGTCATTTTCTGATAGAGCCGGGTAAAAGATGTTTGACAGCAAGACGCTTTCTGTTTTACTTTATATCCTAGGGTAAAGGATTCGCGTAGCCCGCCAGGTTTATTTTGCTTGCCTAACAACGATAACCACCGTGGTTTGGAAATGTATTACATGAGACCAGCGCTACAATCTACGGATGATCTGCAGGGAGGGTCCTTAGAAGCAACACTCGATGTTCGGTTCGGAACTATCACACATGGCATGGAATAACTCGGTCTCCATGCAGTCTACGGAACACACTACTGACTTGAGCAACCTACACAAGCCTGGTATACGATGGCCACTCCTGGGCTTCTTCTCATACCAACAACTTTTAAATTTTCACCCAACCCGAAATTACATATCAACTCAAAAATGAAGCATACCATATCGTATGTGATGGACAAGTTCGTTGCGGCGGTAGTAAATTATTGTTGCTTATTTTCAACTCCGTACCGTCGAACACCTTCACAGTTCAACAATATATTTGTGGGCTCAAATGTTTTCGCAACTTTCTCGCTATGGTAATGCATATGTGACTGATGACAACTCTCGAGTATCCAACATTTTCGAGCTCATTTCTCGAGTTTCGAATAGTTTTTGCACTAGTGCCATCTTAATTTGTGACTAGTATCCGTCGCCTTAATGGCAAAGATTTATCTGTGCTTCGTTCTGTTCAGACGTTCCCCACCGTCACTGAAGAATTGACAGGCTCTATCCAATCCCAAAAATCACCGTCTAACCATAGTATTTGTCGTCTTATTTACAGTACAGCCAACGTTTTGGGGGCATACTCTTTCCAAAAAAGTCTTCTGAGATCCCGAAGACAGGTCCTTCCAATCGGCCACCACTCCGTACGACCGTCGTCTACCGACTCACTTAGCGGAAGGCATCCGGATTTTTTTGATACCTTGAAAGCATTGTCTTGTCTGAAGCGTGAACCCTTTCTGAAAATGGTTGTTTAATCACCGTGTAAATGCATTTTTGCAAGTAGTAGGGAGACATTTTAGTCTTAGAATCGGAATCTTATTGTGTAAGTTAAATTTGTCATTTCTACGAAGCCAAGAGTCACGTTACAGCCATTAGCAGTGAACTTTCCACGGCTGAGTGGCTCGCAACTCCCAAAAGAACTGTGACATGTGGGTTGCTGGTGATTCCTAACAAGAACGTATCGCCTGGGAATTCATTCTAAGGTATTCCACACAGGCCTATTTTACATCAGAATAACAGTTCTATTTAACTACTCAAAGCGTTCACATTGTGGTAGTGGTCGGGCTTCTGTGATGACATTGGCTGGAACTCAGTTCATAAAGGTTCAACCATACCAGAAAGGTCAACTGGTAGCAACCCAACGAAGATCCTCGAGTTCCTGTAATGCAAGTAATCATATTACTAAGCGATCTGGAGGTAACGTCACTCTGTTCTCTGCGATAGTAGAAGTTTGAAGGAAGTAAGGCGTTTCTCCTGGGTGACGAGCATGTCCATATTTATGGAAACAGCTATGCCTCCTTTCCCCAAGGAAGGAGGGGTTGGAAAAGGTCGGCCCCCAAAACCGCACACTCCCATCGTCAAACGGTTGACCGTGACCGCCGGCGCATTATTCAATACGGTCGAAATAATTTTAAAACAAAATAGACCGGTGTTGCTGAAAAGACACCCGTTCTGCGCATCTGCAATAGGACTGAGACAGTAATGCTTTACTCCCTGTGCCCTCGAGCCACGCCGGTCCCCTAATGCCATGTGGACCGGACTATTGAGTCATTGGCTCCGGGAAGGATCCCATAAGAAAACCCTAACAACCACTATCTCGTGGTTCAGACTGTTGACTCAGGCTAGAGGCGGGGTCAACGAACAAAACCCTACATTTTCCCACTGTCTTGTGGGTTAGACTTTTAAGTCAAAGGCCCAAGGTGAGGCGCCTCAACTAAAATTCCTTCCTCGGGTAACCGGGAAGTATCACTTGCTCTTGGAACTCTTCGCTCACAGGCCTTCTCCTACACTCCCTCCCGACCATTGTACGATGCGGCTCAACCATCCCAGCTGCCAACCGCCTAGCCACTGTTCCGTGTCCAAACCTTCGCCCAGGAAGACAAACTTAAAAAATCACCTACCTTACAGGCCTTATTATTCGTACTCTATGCCAACTTGGGCAGCAGACATCCCTTGCTGAAACTTTGCTTTCTCCCCCTATTGATATATATTGTCTCCGAAACACGCACACAAGACTCCACTTCGGTCGTGCCCCACAAACCGCTTAGGATGAGCCCAGATATTCCACATCTCATTCTTCGGGTGTCAGGTGATCTTGAGGCCGTGGCTCATGGTATCTGCGGTGTGGGAGTTGCATATAGCCCCAGGGATGAAAGTACCTTACTGGACTGGATCCAAGTAAACAGTCGCCTCTACGCTGTGCGGTTGTCTAGCTTAATTAAGATTAACGCAGATCAATGCGGTAAACGATATTCGCTTGTCATATCAGCATACGCCCCGACAGAGAGCAGTTCCGAGACTAAGAAGGACTAGTTTTCTCAAGATCTGTCACGACTGGTTCGGTCGGCAAGAAGGACGGATATAGTAATCCTGGCGGGTGATACTGTTGTCCAATTTGGATGACTAAGTCCTTCGAAAATGCAAAAAAAATCGAATAACTTTAATGACTGGGACGCACGGTTTGGCGTGTGCTTAACACCTGCAAAGTGTAAAGTGCTGCTGGAAGACTGGGTGGGATCAAACCCACACCTCACACTTGCAGGTGAGCCAATCGACGTGGTACATAAATTTGTTTACATGAGCAGCTGTATGAGTTCCTGTGGGCAGACCGGAGATGAGATTATTCCTCGAATCGGAAAGGCCACGCCAGGTTTCGCCAATATCCGACACATATGACGCCGAAGTGACATGAGTTTGTCTGTTAAGGGAAGAGTTCACACTACAATGGCGCGATCCATGCTGCTTTATGGATCAGAGACGTGGCCCCTAGGCGCAGAGGGCATACCGAAGATGTCAGTGTTTGACCATCGGTGTCTCCGAAGCATTGGTCAGGTATGATGGGAACATCGGATTAGTAATGCTGAGGTACGTCAGATGGTCGTAGGGAGACCGAACTCTCCAGTGAAAAATAAGTTAATCACGCTTCATATGCTACGCCACTTAGGACATGTACTTCACATGCCAGAAGACTGTCATTTATTAAGCGAAGGAACTTAGGGCTATGTTTCTAAGGAACACATCTGTCCAGGGTGGGTTTCTTTACCTACCAAAGCAATTTTTTCAAAGAAACGTTGTTTAATGTCAGAGGACCAAGGTTGCACACCCAAATGACTAAGTACCAGTAACTGGTGAAAACTAACCAAGCCAAGAAACGGTGTTATGTTACTTTTCTTTCTCTTCTTTCTTTTATTCCATGTCCTGGTTATAAGATAAATGATGGTAAATGTCAGAGCAGGATGCAGCATTCTGTTTAATATATCCCTCAAATTACTCACTCAAGTGTTTGTTCCAGTTCTTTACGAAAGCCAATTGACAGATCCATGGGAAGATTAGGAGAGTCTGCTTTTCGTACATCTCCACGTCCAGTGTACGGATTGCGTAGGGGAGGAGACAAACCATTTGAAGGCAAGGGCCCAAGAGTTGTGGGTCCATTGAACAACTGGCCAGAGTCACACTTTTGTACCGATTCTGTCGATGTGGGGTTGAATTCGTTACCTTCCAGCATACTAGAAGAATTGTCTGATTCCGTATGCTGATTTAACATGTCAAAAGGCACCAAATTTGGGTACGTCGCGTTGTTCTGAGAAGTGGTGCACAGAGATCGGTCAACAGGGAATTTGCATGGAGAGTGCAGTTGATTAATTTTCAAAGAATTATTCAGCTGTTTCTCAGATGATGTGAATGTTTTGGGTCTGATAACGGAGTTAGCGAAAAGTGAATGTGGATCAACCAAGTCATCTTGAGGGGCACACACAGAAGGGTAGCTTATCCATGGTGTTTCCAATGAGAACTGCGCAGGAGACAATAGGGGGTATGTGTTCGGGAACACTATTGGTTCATTTGACATGGCCGAAAACCACTGGGGGAATGGAAGTTGATCAGTTGCAGCTTTACTAGAAGTGTAGGCGTTTCGCGAAACGAGTGGATTCAATGTCGCTTTGCATCTATCTTCACTTGACCGTGTCAGGTCTTCAGCAAAACTACCCGGTAATCCTGGTAAGCAAGGGGCGAATCCTTGTCCAAACATGTTTGGTGGTGGGAGCAAATAAGATGATCCGTTAGGTACAGGGGGGCCATTTTCAAACATCGATGGCCCTATGGGTAAACATTGCCTTTTTCCTCCGAGACAGTTTTCAATGACCGATGAATCACGTTGTTTGGGTCCATTGATATGATTCATCATTGCGCTTCGTAAATCAGCTAGAATAAAGTAATGTTGAGAACAACAGGAATTAATTCAAAATGAAAATAAAAACTCCGTTTACACCCCAAATAGGCGGAATAAAATGGTTACACGCTCGCCTCGCATGTCAGATGTCCGGGGTTCAAATCCCGGCACGGTCATTGGATATGCACTGCTGATGAGCCCTAATAAGAGGCGAAACTCGGTGCAGTACTTGTTTCCCTTTGGCGTGGACTCACTAGAATAAGCAAGCTAGAACGGGAGGGCGGTCGTTAAAACGAGTGGTAGACTATGAACAGAATAACTTAGGAACTCTTTAAGGCACAACTGTCCTTAAAAATGTTCAGGACAAAAACAAGAAGGGTGGTATAGGCGCAAACCAAAATAACAAAAAATGGGGAATCGCGTTGTAAATATAAAAATAGAAGAAAGGAATCAAAATCAGTATGGTGCTCGTTGATAAGATTTATGTTTTTTGTAAAAGTAGAAACTTAAATTAGTCTAATACCTATGGCTTACCTGTGGGAGTGCTATGTCGTTTCAGTTGTCGACGACGATTACGTGAGGCCAGAGGGCACCCAGAGAAGCTGAAATCAAGTAAAAAAGGTTTGTCTCTCTACATATCTGCTTAATTGCAAAGTTGAACGAATGAGAGATACCGACATTGGGAAACAAGCTTCTCGGTTCAAAGCAGTATTTTATCACATTTTAGTGGAGCGGCTGCAGCTGATCACTTGAAAGGATTTCGAGACAGCGCGGAGAGTGACCATAACTCATTTCGGAACTTTTATTCAATTAAGCATCTGTTAGTCTGACGTTAAATTTAAATGGTGTCCCAGATGGAGTCCAACTATATGCCGAAGTTACGTCCAACTCTTGATAAAAATCATTTTGACTCTGTAGAAAAGTAATGTGCACGATACGGAATCTTTTCTTGTTTTTTTTTAGGGACAAATGGAAATGCTGCGGCACTCACTAGTGTTTTTATAAGAATCACACTGGTTACCATGTTTAAGTAAACTATCTTTCATTTTTTAAGGCCTTGCGGTTAATTGATGTTGCCCTTTAAGTTCAACACAGCAGTTAAACGAAAACTTGAGACGCACGAGGTCAGATGAATCACAGCAGCCAAAGATAATTACTAGATACAACTTAAGACAAGCGAAATTCGAGAGGTGAGACCGGAGAGCTCTTGTTAATGTGTATAGTACATAGCATATGACAATTGTCTTGACAAGTAGGAGAAACCGCAAACTTTTTGAGGTTGAGTACTTTGCATTATCCCGTCTCTTTGGTTCATGAGTGCTCTTTTGTATGCTATGTCTTGTCGGATGATTTACCTTATGCCAAGAGTATGGTACATGTCTGCCGATATATGAGTACGATTGAGAGCAAAACCTAAATTACGCTCCCAATATGCCCCTTTTATGCATAACTATCGTCTAGTAACGATGAACGCATTTTCCGTGTGATCTTGCAGTACAAGCCCTTTGGATATTTAGCTCCACAGCTGTCATTTTGAGAAACAACTGTCAAAACCTAATGCAAATTACACGTAATGCACTATTTGTAAGGTTGTTGAAAATTCTTCGGCAGTCCGCGATATCTCGAATATCAAGTGAAACATGAGGCGGCCTGGTGCAACACATTCAGTTGCCTAGAAACATCACAAACGAGCGATTCATCTGGGTTCCAGGTGAGTCTCGCAACAACCAAATTTGTTTGCAAACGAGTGTATTTTGTTAATAATGCTACTTGTTCGATACACACGTGCTTAACCACTGCTGATGAATGAAAACGGTTTACGAGCTGGAACACTATGGTGAGAAATGGCCACAAAATTTGGCATTTTTGAATACAACTTGATCGTCTCCTTCAACTTGTTGGTCGTCTCTATTCAACTAGTTTGCATCCTTTTTTCAATTATCTGTGGGTTCCGCGAGAATAAAAGGAAGCTGAGGAGCATGAATCTGCGGTTGGTATTGCACTTCTGTAGTATACAGTTATTCCGGATGATCTTTTCGTTGCTTGAGGTGTTACGCGATGTTCCTAAAAATCTGATGACTAACTAAATTTTGTGTGATTTAGATCGGTTTAAGCGTCTAAGTGGATAAGACAAAATTGTTATTGATTCTTGGTTGTTGATCAGGTGGCTGTTGATCTTTTCACCGAGCCTGGCAATTGGCTTGCAAACGTTTCGTCTCCATACGAGGAGACATCATCAGCGCGCAGTTGAGTGGGTACTTCTTCCTTGCCTGCGTGCGTTTATATACCATTTGAAGGCTATCTGTTGTCTTCTGACGTGATTGGCTACTTACAGTGTAACAAATTTGGTGAATCTATTGGTCCGTTTGTGATATTTGTTGCCTTGTGATCCGTGTTCCTTTGTGTCGATTGGTTATCCTCACGCCTTCTATTTTTAGTAGTTTGTTCTCCGGCCTCGGCTTGTATTCCATTGTGGTCTGACATTCTTGAGTTTGATTGGTTGCTTGTGCCGCCCTATTTCTTCTACCGTAGCGGTCAGTGTCCCTTCGTCCGTCGGTTGATTTGGTACTTTGATTGGGCGCTTCCTCCAATCTAATTGATGTGTCCGTTTGAATGATGTTTTCTCCCTTCTCTTATGATTTCCTCGTCTGGTTGATTTTGCAATTCTAAGCTCGGTGGTTCTGGAGTTCTCTCGCTCTTAGTGGCTGGTAGATGGGATCAATTTCGATATGTTTGTTGATGGCTTCTTCGGTGGAGTACCATGCTTCCATAAATTCGCGTTCGTTTTTTGTTCTTGCTTGAGCCAATATGCAAACGCCGCTCCAGTCGAACTCGTGTCCTTTCTGATCTTTGTGTGCGGAGATGAGGGAGAACTGATCGTGTCTCTTAGTGGCGAGCTTGTGTTCATGTATTCTGGCGGACAAGTTTCAGTCAAGACTGATCCTGACCCTCATGTCATCGAATTTGCAACTATAAACAATAGGAGACTTCCGGAGGGTCGCGTACTCTTCAAGCGGTATGTTGATCCACGTAGGTTGCACAATTTAATTGCTTGTGAATATCAAATATAAATATACCAAACCAGGTAAATTGCAATTTACTGTGCAGTTTAATTGCCACGCACTATAAAAATTAATTCAAGACCATTTAATTCTATTTCCTGACGGGTGTCTAATTTTAAAGTTTCAGGATCATGTTCCTTGCGAAACAACCGCATTTCAGTTTTATTTGTCCTAGGTGCTGAGTGCTTTTGGGTCGTATTAACTGTTATGAAGTCAGAAATCAGCAGGCCCTAACTCTAGGAAAGTGGATCGCTGTGTGAATTTCCAAAATATGCTATAGGGAACAATTAAAGCCATTCTTTAGGAGTGAACACCCTTATTGTACCCAACTGCGTGCGCCATTAACGTACCGAAAAGGTGACACATTTTTTACAGCTACATGTGATTGCTCCCCTCAACCCAACAATTGCCATCGCAACTGTGCATCCCGAAGCCGGAAACCTGCCTTTCTCCTAAGAACACAAGGAGAACAGTCTACTCTTTTCACATCACTTGCTAAATCTCATAATGAAATGACAAAACCGTGTGCAAGTGTATTTGTATCGGTCAGAGTGCACCAACAATCTTGTGTTTATCTTTGTTTGTGCCTTAAAGGTCCGAAAGAGCGCGTTTTGTTTGCATAAACATTCATCTTTGATTCGTTGATTTCCTGAAGGCGGCCGCCAAAAGTAAATATTTTTCGCCACATTCTTTTCCGGACAAGTTTAAAATCTTTATCTTTGTTGAGGAAAGTTTTTTTTGAACCAGATAGGCAGAAGATTCGTGCAACAGATGAAGTTCCACTACATAACGGAGATGATTTTTGGAGCTTCAGCTTATAAATGCATTTTTCTTTGTAACCGGATGGTATTCAAACGAGAAGTTAGGTGATGGTATGGAAAAAGCTGGGAACTAAGAAACGAAGCATAGTGTTCCCTCAGTACAGCTGAATCTCTCAATGATGTCCAAAAAGCCGCGTTCACCCAGGCGTGGCCATTCCGATACAGTATAGGAAACCCCCATCTACTCGGAAACCGTTGATTTAAATACCACCAAGGTCACCGATGCTGTTAAATCAGTGCGATGATGTAATCAAGGGAAAATCCTATATAGTCCAACTATTGCTACAGGGTTCATCTACCCGGTGGAACTGATGTGTGCATAGGATCCTGATAAAAATTATTTTGTCCGGTGAACCACAGTGCCTCACTGAATAAGTTGCAAGACGGTCTATTTCATCAGCTGCGCAAAATTCGGTGCTCGACCAGCTAATGTAAGCTGGGCACCAACTCTCCCTGATGTTGAAGGCAGCAGTGGGCTGTCTGAGAGTATCCAGCTATCATGTAATTGGTGTGCTGTGTCAACAAAAACTGTGAGATCAACCTTAGTATGAGGTGGCATTTGTGCGGCAGACCTACTTGAAGAAGGTTCACTTCACTATCTCGTTATTGTCAAATCAATTTGCGAGAAAGTACATACTAATAGAGCCTGGATCTCGATCATCTCCATAATGGCATCAGTTCATTCACGGCTTTTATTGTATCTCTTAGCCAAGGCTGAGTACATTGGCAACCAGCACATCATCCTGCACGATTTACCTAAACGTAAAAATAAAATGTGTGTTGGGTTCTAATTAGTTCGTCTCCCTGAAAGATGCGTCTCGGAGTCTTACTCTAACTACCATAGGTCATTTATCGAATAGGATTTACCTCCGTTATGATATCACATGGAACCGTACCGGAGAGTTCGCTGAGTTATGCGTTATTCGGGTACACAGAAACGATGGATTTGTCTCAAGAGACCACCAGCCACATGGCAAAACTACAAGGTTGCTAGACTGTTCGTTTGCATTACACACGAGGGGGGAATGAATGGAAG